GTGTGTGTGTGTGTGTGTGTGTGTGTGTGTGTGTGTATGAAGGGGTTGGGGGGGGGATTCTCAGAAACCGGTTGCCATGGCCACCAAAACAAGGATTCTTGCCTGCATCACTCCTCCCAGCGTGCGTCTCGCTTTCTTTTTTCTCACGCTTCTCATGCAGCATCTCTCACTCATCCAGACTTTGGTGCAAACACACACACACACACACACACACACACATATACAGAGAGAGAGAGAGAGAGAGCAGGGGTTTGCTCTTGCACACCTCTGCACACACAAACACACAGGCAGGGAATTCCCTGATGTTGCAAAAACCTGGAAACAATGATAAAATTCAAATCTCCTCATCCTGTTCTCACGTGTAATCTTCTCCAGTGTGTGTGTGTGTGTGTGTGTGTGTGCATGTGCAATAAAAGAGCATCCTCCTCTCCATCCACTCTCCCTGTGAAGGAGGGGTTAATCCATCCATCCATCCATCCATCCGTCCGTCCTAGCAGGGAGATTCTTGATGGATGCCCAAATGCAGCAGAGCTTAACCCTCATCGCTGACTGCCTGCATCATCCTCTGCTCTGTGAATACACACACAAACACACACACATACACACAACAGATGTACCACTCTCATCACCCTCCAGCGCTGGTGTGCGTCCCCGTCGATATGGAGAAGGAGTCACGGGGTGAATGAAGGGATGGGAGGGGACGAGGGAAGGATGGGAGAGAGGGGTGGGTGGGAAGGGGGGAGGTGGACGAGCATCACAAGCCGCCGTCAGATGGACTGAAAGCTCTTTGGAGCAACAGATAGCAGAGCGGGAGACAGAAGAGAGAAGCGGAGAGAAACGAGAGAAATCTGCTCTTCTCTCTTCATCCCTCCATCCCTACAACACGCTCTCCCCCCTCCTCCCACCTGACACGGGGATCCCCCAACTTAAAGGCTTTTCCCTCCTCCTCCTCTGCCTCCTCCTCCTCCTCCTCCTCCTCTTTCTTGCGCACTCTGCGTTTGTTTTGCTCCGAAAACGGAGACTGAGCGGCACCGGACGGACTGCAGGGATGCGGGGATTGCTCCCCTCGTCAGTCACCTCTTCCCACCAACACCAGCGAGGACACGCAGGTTTAATCACATCTTCGTGCCGTGCATGTGTCTGTGTGGCGCACAGATGGAGCTGTGCGCTCCGAGTGTGAGCGCGCCGCAGACCGAGTGGCAGCGCATCTCCCGGACACCTGCTGCTGCTGCAGTGCCTCGCTGATGTGAAGATGAAGAAATCCCCGCGGGAAGTCCAAACCTCCGCCAACATGTGACGTTTTCATTTCTTCAAGAAAAATTCCAAAGGGGCCAAAAAGTGTCGTTGGTGCGTGACCCCCCTCCATTCCTCCTGTTTTGCTCCTCCAGAGTGAATCCAGGATGGGTCCTGTTTGGCTTCTTCTCCTGCTTCCATCCCTCCTCAGAGCGCAGGTGACTCCAGACTTCCCATCAGGAGTTACTTTGGACGTGGCCAACAGCACTGACTCTTTAACAAACACTACAGGGATTCCAGAAATCAGCACCAGCCCCTCAGGTTCCACCAGCCCCACAGAGCCTTCTCAGTTTGCAGTGATGACTTCTGAAGCTCCCACAGAAGAGGTGGAAGACTGGTCACCAGCAGAGACCTTCTTGTACACTGGGGACCCTTCCACTCTGGAGGTGGCCCGCTGTTCAAGGGCATACAGCTCCCCTGGGCAGACCGGTACCCTGCCCATCAGCTTCAGTGCCCCCCTACGCCCAGCTCTGGACGCGCTGGCCAACACTGCCAACTTCCTCAACATGATCTTCCAAGCCAGTGACTTGCGGGAGAGCACAGTTCAGGAGGATATGGAGTGGTACCATGCCCTGGTCCGCGCCCTTCTGGAGGCTGACATGCTAATCCAGCGGGCCCTGCTTACCTTCGACGCTGACCCAACTGCTCTGGTGCCACAACTGGTCCTCCATGCCACCCGCAGCCCAACTGCCAAGGTGCAGACAATCATCCTCCAGGATTTGTCCAAGGCCTGGGAAACCCTGCACCCGCCGGCCCCGGCCCCGGACGACAGCTGGTTCAGAAGATTTAAATTTCCAGAGTCCAACCAGCCCATAGCTGCCCTGTCCAAGCGGGTGCTCCTCAACGATCTCGACACCTTGGACACGCCTAAGTGGGGGCAGGGCGACAGCTACGTGACCAATCGCAGTGGGGTACGCTGGGCCAGTGCCCCGTTTTTGGACTGTAAGGATGGACGCTTTGTGCCTGGCTGGATGCTCACCCTGTCCACCTCCTTCTACGGCCTCAAACCTGACCTGACACCAGAGTTCAGGTTAGGGCCTGCCCACACACACACACACACACACACACACACACACACAAAATGCCTCATACTGATAACATCAGTAATTGCAGACTTTTAATTTGAAAGTTTGAATCACTGGTTTCTGGTGTTGGTCATTGGTGTCACCTGAAGTTTATGTGTGTCTGATTAGCCACAAATAAGCTCAACCAATGGCGTCTCCTAGTGTAGGATCTAAATTATGAAAACCAATCATGGAGTGCTGCAAAAAAAAAAAGTTCAAAATACAGATAGAACAATGGTTATGTTGAATATTTGTTACTCAAAACTGGCTGTAAAGACTTGTTGCTATAGTGGTCGAAGGTGCAACTGGGTCTTGACAAGGGCTTTAAACTTTTCATTTTTTTATGTGTTCCTGTTGATAAATTGTTTTCTTACTTTCTGGAGAGTATTTAAACGCGAAACGAAGCTTTGGAGCTTATGAACCCTTCTTATTCCACTTCAGGACCATACTGATCTATTGGTACATGTGAGTAGGTAGTGTGAAAAAAAACATCTCATCACTCCATTTTGTTGACTTTCATGCTCTTCTGTTAAAAATCTCTTCCCTTTATTGCTTGCAAAACATATCCAAAGCAAGATACCATTTCAGAAATTTGGTTATGAGTCTGAAAATATGCCTTTTTTTTTCTAACTCACTGAAAGGGATAGAAGCTTTGAAGCAGAGAGCAGCAGTATTTGTATTTCACCTGCCTCTCTAGTTCTGTGTTGGACCCTCTGACCTTTTTTTTCCAGCCTTCTGGAGAAAAGCTTGATAAGCATCTGGAATAAAATGTGTTTGAATCAACAGACGTGGCTAAAATCTGACATTTCAAAGGGAATCCACTTAAAGGCCAAGCTGTGTGTGGAGTTGCAGCAGAAGAAAAGGGATTATTCGAATGAGTCTGATGATATTTGGAACTGCTCTTGTTTCTTTACCCCGACTCACATATGTGACTCCTGTTTGTGTGTTCTGTGTTAGAGGTGTGGTCCGAGTAGACGTCAACATTCAGAACATTGACTTGGACCAGTGTGCAACAGGGGACGGCTGGTTCGCTGATACTCACCAGTGCAATCGCACCAGCATGGAGGTAAAGACAACGAAGGCCAGTGACGGAAACTAGCTGTGAGCTGGAGCTGAATAATGACTTCTTGTCCCTTTGTTTTCACTGTTGTGAGAATCACTCAACAAAATTACGCAGTAAACAAATATAGGAAGCAAAAGTTACTGATTCTTTTTTATTATCTCTGCCAAGAAAGTTATGTGTTAGGTGTTTGTTAAAATCTAAATCTTAAAATCTGTTCAATGGATTTATATAGAATTTGGCAACAAACAAAAAACAGCCAACAGGCCACAGATCAGGTTGGTGTTTTTAGTAAAGGTATGGATTCAACCTCGTCAACATGTAGCTGGAGCTTTAGGGATCGCTGCATTGATCCATCGTTCTGTCCAGTCAGGATTCAAATTTATTCTGATTGATGAATTACCCTAAAAATTCATACAGACATTAAAGGTCCCCTGAGGATCTGTGCTCTAGAGTTTGATGTTCTCCTGAGTTTTCATGTGGCAACGCTAGCCGGTGAAATGTATCCATTTATCCAGTGAAATTCCTCAACATGCAATGAATTGGGACAAAATTTGACTTCAGTTTAGGGGTCATGAGCAAAATGTCTAGAAAAGGATGGATTACCGTAAAAAGACATCTTTGTTTCCTGAAGGCTGAATTGTAATTACAATGCATACTTTCCCAACCTCACATTAGAGCTTATTAGCATTTGCTAGCATGCTACGACAGTAAACAAAGACGGTGATCCTGGTGAACATATTCTTCTAAACATTGAAATGATAGCCGTGTCATTGTGAATATTTTAACGTGCTGGTGCTCATAATATCTGGACAGCAAGGCAAAAAGCAAAGTGCATTTCTCTTTATTCAGTAATCTCTCAGTCTAGACCACTTCCATTGCCACAGATTTCCCACGATTTTGAACTTGTGAAACTGTTTCTGTGCTACTTCTTCATCATTCAATCCTCATGAAAGTTGTTGAAGGTGTGGCCTGACATACTGTATGCACAATGCAGCCAAAATTAGACGGTAATTTAAAATTCGAGAGCAAATTTCCTACAGGTTGGTTTGAAAATGGGCATCAATCGCACTCCACTGATAGGGCTCGTCTTCAAGCATGTGAGACACCAAACAGAAACAAAAATCTAGTCCAACATAAAGCAGGGAAGTGTTACCTCACTCATGATGCATCCAAGTTGACTGCTAAGCACCAGACTGGTCAGTGTTATCATCACTGTTTAGACTATCCCACGAAATGTTAGTTATGAATGTACAGACAGGGATTCTGAGGTTTTCTTTGGTATGTTTTAAATAAGCTTCCACTTTACTAACTATTACACATACGGTGTCTAATTTTTTATCTTTTCATTTTTGAGGATTAAGCATCGAATGTTTATTAGATAAGCTGGGCAGCACTGTTTGGCACACACTGGACTGTACACAGCAGAGTAGTGATTGTCCACGGACAGCGGGCCAACGGGGCTCTGTGACTCCATCAATGTTGTCAGAACAGTGCTTCCAGAGACCACACACCAAGATCGGACACGTGATGAGCTCTGTGAGTGGTAATATACTGTTGATTCAGAATTGGGATGACAAGGAAGCTGTTTACTTGTATCATGCCATCTCTGATTCTCCTCAATCATCCATCCATCCAT